TTTTTTGTTGTGTGTTTTTTTTGTTTTTGTTTTGCAACACTGGTGACAACTTTGCCAGTGCCACCTGTGTGTTTTAGTCTGATATTGATAAGAAGGCACCTTTGAAGACTCCCACTGTAGATGCTGAGTGAACTGGCATTTACATCTTAAGGTGCTGTCTTGCTGTGAAAAAGTGCTGGTTTTTTCTTTTCTAAAAACCTTTTTCTCTCTAATCCGACCATTTTGGTCAGTTATTGCAGTTGTTGTCACCACGGGGGTTTCATTGTTTCTCCATTAATTTCTTTTACAGAAAGGGACTCCAGGTGCTCTCTTCCCCTCCCCACTAATTGAAGTAGCTGTCCCTGTAGCCTGTGGCTCTGTGCTGCTCCTCAGTATTGCTCTCATATTCATGGTTCTCACGGCAAGGAAGAGGCGCCAGTCCGAGGGGACGTACAGCCCGAGCCAGCAGGAGGTGGCAGGAGCTCGGCTGGAGATGGACAGTGTCCTAAAGGTGCCACCCGAAGAGCGCCTAATCTAGGCCCTGCCCAGGACCTGCACCTGCAAGCTCTGCCTGCACCTGGAGCTCTTCCAGCCCTGGCAGCAGCAGATGCAGCCCCTCCCCGTTCCCCTAAGGCCGCGGAACATCGGACATCGCGGCCGGCTGGGCTGGCGCTGCTGCACTCAGCGGCTCCAGGGGAGCCTCTGCCCCCCTGTGCCCTGCCCCGGGCTGCCATCGCTCATCGCAGCAGCAGCTGAAGTGGCTCTGGCTCCTGTCCCCTCCCAGGCAGGAGAGGCACATTCAATCTGCTTTCCAAGGCAGGGTGACCGAGGCACCTGTGCAGGTTCAGCTCCCCGAGTCCCACTCAGGAGCTGGGAAGGTCGAGGCTGGTTTGTGTATTCTGCTCTGGTTTGTCAACCGCTGAAAAACATTCAGACTCTCTCAGCTCAGGTGTGTGAGGTTTTCAGAGTCTTCAACAGCAACAGCAGCTGTGACCTCCCTGTGACAGCCCTGTGTTGCAGGGAATTGTCAGGAATGATCAAAATCCTTGTATGAATCAGTGCTGAATGCCCCGGTGCTGTTAGACATTCCCATGGGTACCGTGCAGGGAAGGGACGGGCAGGACTCCGGGGGTTTGGGCCAGTGCTGGAGCTGCCACATGCTGGAGTTTGGGTGTGCATGGAGGGGACAGGGGAGCAGAAAGGTCACAGCCTCCTGTGCATTCCCTGGGCTCCGCGGGACAGGGGAAGGGGGAGCTCCTGCCCTGCACCGCTGTCAGCACAGCGCGGCTGAGGGAGCGCTGGGCGCTGACGGGTGTGAAGTGCAGCTGCGTCCTGGTGGAAGCTCTGAGTAACTGCCTGTTCTACCACAGCAGCGAGTGTGGGCGCACCTCAGCCACTCCTCGGTGGTGGGAGCAGTCGGGGCTGCGGGGGCTGCCCTGCTCCTCGCACTGGCTGCAGCCACGGCGATTGCCATGAAGAGGAGGAGAGCGACTCAGGGAACCTACAGCCCGAGCCGGCAGGAGAAGGACGGGGCCCGAGTGGAAATGTGGAACGTGATCAAGATGCCCCCGACCGAGCGGCTGATCTGAGCTGGGGTCACGCTGGGGGCGGGGGGGACACAGCTCTGGACAGCCTCGGGCACTGCCCGCTGGCACTGCCCGCTGGCACTGCCCCTCGGGCTGCTGGCTGCAATCAGCCCACAGAGCATTCCTAGCAAACTGCCCTGGCCGTGAAAGCGGCAGCGCCGGGGAGCAGAAACCCCGCTGCCGAGGGCCAGGAGGGAGCAGTGGCTGTGGCACAGCGGGGACACGGAACCGGACAGAAGGTGGGGCTGTGGCACAGCCAGAGCCCGCTGGGCCCCTGCTCCTGCAGGCAGCAGGAAAACCTCCCTGAGGCAGGTCCAGTGAACGGGAATGAAACCACTGCGTTCAGAAATAATGTGAATAATAAGGTTTTTTCAAAAAGACACATACCTGTGACTCCTCTGCAGGGCTAAGCCAGGTGAGTGAGTGCTGGGAATTCCTTCCCAGAGCTGCTGCTGCCCTTCCAGCTGGGCCAGGGCTGGCATGGCAGTAAGTCCCACTGGGCTGAGCTGGACATGGCTGCTGTTGCTTTCCCCGAGACCAGACCAAACCACAAGAATATCTGAAGTGCCTTTCTGATCCTGCGGTGCCAGTTACAGTTTAACTTTTGTGAAAGGAGGACGTTTTCATGTGTGATCCAGCTCCACCACTCCCAAGCAGCTTTGACCGTGGAACTGACCCTTGTGAGAGCATCAGGTGGTACCTGCTGGGGTGAGGAGGGGAGAAAGAAAGAGTTCTAGAGGTGACCTCTCTGGACTGACAGGTTTGGGCTTGCTGATCCAGGAGAGTGGAATTTAGTTAGCCAATCATTTAACCCAAACAAGGGTTGGTGTAAGTGACACAGCTTCTGCTTCCCACTGCACTTACAGGGGTTTGATTTTGTGGCTTTGCTTCTCCTGTGTTACTGCTGTAGCTGTTGAATGTGCTGTTTCTTCTTTAGCATAACGTGGCAGAGACTGTGGAAGGAAATGCAGCACAGCAGGCCAGGTAAGGCCTAAAGTCATTAGTGTTTCAGGACAATCACAACAACTATCAATAAGGAATATTGTAGAACAGTGTCTGCTTTTTAATGTCCAAAATACTATTAAAAATCAGGGTGGGAACCTGCCTGCCTTAGCTCATTGCCACAAGAAAATGCTGTTTATTCTGGCCTGCTTTGGGATTTGTTTTTCTACTGTAGCTGTAAATATTTCTGTAGTTCCAAGCAAAGGGAGGGGTCTGGAAGTACTGCTCACATGTGTTAGTTTAAGAACAGGTGTGTCTGTGTAAGAACAGGTCTCTGCAACAGGCAGCTGCTGACAGAAAAATGAAAGTTTTAGAAAACAGAAAAAACCAGGAGTGGGAGACAGACAATATTTTGTCAGTAAGATCACGTTCCCTCTAGTAGTGGAGAAGAGGCAAAGGTGAGATCCCAGCTGTGTCTGGCAGTGCCAGGGATGCCCTGGCTGCAGGTGGGAGCTGTGGCTGCTTTCCTGACTCTGCTGGCACTGTTCTGTCATGCTTTGCTCTGGGCATTCTCCAGCTGCTCTTCTGGGAGGCCCAGCACGCTTTGGGAACAGAGCCAGTGGCACTGGGGCTTTGGGGACAGGTGAGGGGGGTTTTCCTATGCACAGGAGGCTCCAGGGCAGCAGAGCTGTGCCAGGACAGTGGGGAATTCCTCCCGGGGCTGAGGGAAGGGAGCAGGGGTGGCACAGCCCTGGGGCCCCTGTGCTGCCAGGCAAAGGCCTGCAGTAACCTCTGGGCTCTCTGCACCCCAGGGCAGGAGCTGCTTCTGCCTTTTTGCTGCACTCCCCGTGTGGTGTCTGCACAGAAATGAGGCAGCAGCAGGGTGGAGCAGAGCCCCAGCCCCAGAGCTGCCCAGCAGCTCCTGCCCCCCCTGCAGAACAAACCAAGCCCTGGAGCCCCGGCAGGTCCGGCCGTGCCCCAGCAGCTCCTCAGGGCTGCAGCCCGAGCACCCAAAGCCAGTGTTAGCCAAGGTGTTCAAATACCCTGTCAGTGTCTTGAGCATTTCTGCAAAATAATTTATGGAACGTGGTTTTGGTTTTTTTTCAATAATGAACTTAACTTTCTTTTGATATTTAATTTTTGAATATATTTTTTCACAAAACTGGACTTGCTGTAGTTAATGATTATGATCCCGATTTCTTTTTTAATTGTAAATTTTATAATTTGTAAATAATTAGAATGTCCTTCAAAAGAAATTTACAGTAAAATTTGGTTAAAACAAGACCTGGTTGTTGACTTGTGACTGTTTTTCCCCAAAGAACACCTTTCTGTCTGGATGGCTGATCATGGTTTGTGCCACACCCCCTGCACAGCTGCAAACTTTGATTTTTCATGGTTAAAGGATTCATTTTGTGATGGTTTGTCACAGCCCAGAGCCCTGAGCACAGGCCAGGGTGCAGAGCTTTGCCCAGCAGCAGGACAGAGCTGCTGAACACCAAGGGAGGGAGCTGGGAAAGCTCTGCTCTCTGCTCACCTCACCGAGCTGCATTTCACCATTAATCCCTGACTTTATGGGCAATAAAGACACAGGAATGGGGGGAAAAGGGACTCTGAAGCCTCCACCCAGAGTGAACAAAACACAGAAATGGTTTCACCTCTTGTGCAGCAGCAGATGCACCACAAACTTCGAAGAGGCTTGTCTTATCTGTTTGTTTTTAAAATAAACTCATTTCTTATGGCAGGAAGCAGCTGTAAATAAGCAAAGTGATACCAAACACAGGGCAAGTACAGGAACATGGAAAAGTCAAGTATAAAGTCACTGATGAGTAAGACCAGGAACACTTTTTATACTGGATTAATAAAAGCTTCCAAATTCCTTCTAGGGCTGAACCAGAACTGGTTCAGATAAACAAACTGTTTATACCTGGCACTATCAGGAATGAATCATGTTAGGCATTCCTGAGTTTAAATAAGACAAAAAATCCCTTAAAGCTGTCCTAGGGATAGATCAATTCCTATGTTACAAGAAACCCCTAAAAAGGTCTCTGCTTGCAAACCCTGCTCCAGAAATGAGGGAAGTCACAAACCCCTTGTCCTCCTGGATCTCAGAGGTGCTAAATGAAGTGAAGGGTGAATAAATGGGTGTTAATACTCTTCAGTGCCCCAAAACTGACTTACCAAATGATCCGTAATATGAGCAAAGTAACCAGAGATGGAAATGAACTGCAGTGGGACAGAATTTCCTGAGAGGTTTAAGGCATCTGTGCTGGGCTCCTCAGTGTGTGATCACTGTGCGACATTACTGAGTTTAAACAGGGCCTGTGGAGCCCTGCTTGCACAGGCAGGATTGTCCAGTGCCCCTTCACACCCACCATAAGCCAGACAGTTTTATCATCCAGCTCATTGCAAAGGAGCTCTGAAATGCCAGACAATAATATATAACATTCTTATTCTGAACTCTATCCTTTATCCAAATAAAATGGAACTGGTATCTTAGACTTTAAATATTTTACTATTCAATACTAAACCCATCTGTCTTTCAACACAAAAAGAAAATACAAATCCAAGTGAATGGCTTGTCAGAGGAACAGCACTGTACAGAAACAGAATATTCCTGGAATACTGTGGTCTTCCCAAAACCGGCAGCATTTCAGATATTATTTTTCTTTTGTACTGCCCAGACTCGAACACAGAGACAGCCATTCCCATTCCCCAGAGTAAGAAAACTTCCAAGATAACATGAATAAAATAGATACATTGGAAATCAGATAAAGCTTTGCAAGAATTTCCCCATGTGTCCAAGATGATTTCCTTTATCAAAGGCTCAATGGTGATGTGATTCCCTCTGCGAGAGTGACAGGTTTTCCACCAGAGTGTGCCCAGACACAAAACAAACCAAAAAAGCACCACTGAAGTGAAACAGAAATGATCAGAGACAGCAGCTTTCCCGGGGATGCTGAGGGCTGTGTGAGGTGTCTGGAGAAGCCAGAGGGAGCTCAGAACACCCAGCTGAGCCTCCCCTGCACTCGGTGCCTCGCGGGCCAGCCCGAGGCCCCACAGAGCCCAGATCCCCCTGCAGGACACGCCCTGCCCTCAGCCCCAGCACACCGGCCTTCCCCTGCACTCAGGAGCTGGGAACCTCCATGCCCCACACTTCTGCTCTTCTTTGTAATAATCAAGTAAGATATAGTTACATTCCATTCATATACTGCAATTTATAATATTGATAGATAATATTAAGATACACATATATAAGAACTAGGATACTCTTTATGGCCTCTATTTTCTGATGTATTTAACAAAAACAAAGTCAAAAAAATGAAAACAATTGCTGGTGTTTCCAGTTTCCCAACAGAGATGCAGGACCAATCCCTGAGCAGCTGCTCTGTGCTGTGGTTTCCAGGCCTGTGACAACTCTGCCCTGGCTGTTGGTGTTTGGGATGGGGGGGGAGTCAAAAGTGCCACCAAAGTCCATGTGACAGCACAGCTCCAGGAGCGGCTGGGGTTCAACGAGCACAAACAGAAACCAAGGGAGCAGTTCAGTGACTTGTGGGCTGGTTTGCTGCACTTTGCATGTGGGAACAAAATGTATTTCTGTGTAATGCCAGAAAAACTGACGTCCGTTCCCAGAGGCAGGAGTGAACCCCAGCAGAGTGGGCTGTGTCAAGCTCCAGGTGTGCCAAGGACCAAAAATACAGGGAGGGAGTAACTTGTGCATCAGTAGCGCTGCCTGATAAGCTGTGTGTGGAAATCCCAACCCACCCCAACCCAACCCACCTCCCCTCAGGCTTTGGTCAGTGCAGGGATCCCAGGGTTCAGTGGCAGGGAGTGAGAGCAGTGCCAGGGACTGGGACTGGGGGACTCTGACCTGTGGGCAAAAAGCTCTCGTGTTGAGTTGCAGCTCAGCGATGGTCCTGCGGCAGTCCTGGCTCAGCCTTCCTTAAAAGAAATGCTTGGTTTTATGCTGGCTCAAAAAAACCAAAAAATCCCTCTGTCACTTCCAAAAGGACACCAAGGCCATGGGGCGTGTCACTCAAAGGTTTCCCATCGCTTTCTGAGCTGCTCCACCTTACCTGGTGTGGGTGACACGTCCTGCTTGGTCTTTTTTAACAGATCTTCAAATGGATCTTTTGTGTCCTCAGATTTTGAGGACAGTAACACTGACTCCAAGCCCTTGGCTGGCCTGGCAGGGACCAGAGGGGGTTCACTGGCCAGAAGAGCCAGGGCTTGTTTGGGATCTACCTTTGTGCTGGGCTGGCCCACCTGTAACGTTCGGGGTTTGGGGGGAGCACCCAGACACGCTGGCTGGAGGGAGCCGGTGGGAGAAGGGCTGTGGCTCTGCAGGAGCAAGGAGCCAGCTGCTGGCACAGCTGGAGCCTGGCTGAACAGGTTTGGCATGGAGAGCGTGGCCATGGGGGGCTGAGGTCTCTGTGCTGGGTAGAAGGCGGCAGTGGGGGTTATGAAGCTGGAGCTGTAGGCATGACCTAGGGAGGGGGTAAAGGAGCCCCTGGGGGCTCTGACCAGGGACACCGGAAGGGCTCCTGGCAGTGTCTGGGTGAACGGATTGGGGGAGGGCTGTAGAAAAGGCGGTGGAGCTGGGGCAGGATAGCCCAGGGGCTGGGCAAACGCTGCAGCTGCAGGAGGCACAAAGTCACTGGGCAGGGCCCCGAAGGCGGGCGCGGGGGCCGAGCCCTGCGGGGCCCTGGCCGGCCAGGCCGTGGTTCTCAGCGGGTCCAGCAGGCTCAGCAGGAGCTCGCTCTCGTTGCCGGCGCCCTCTGCCTTCACCCGCTCGGGCTGCAGCATCCCAGCGCTGCCGGCAGCGCCGCACAGCAGCTGTGATGGGCGGGAGGAGCAACCCACAGACTGCTGCACTTCGGGCTTTAAGGACACAGCCCCAAAGGGCTCGGGGATAAGATCTGAAACCAAGTGGCCGCGCCCCTGAGGGGTGAGGATTTCCGCTGGAGCCTGGTGCTTGGAAGCCCTGGGTGCTGGTGGTGGTGGCACGATCCCCAGTTCTGGAGTCTTTCTTCCCTGGGGCCTAGGAATGGTGATGTTCCCTTGAATGGCAGGATTGGATTCATCCTTTTCTGCAGGAGCCAGACCACTGTCTCTGCTCTGGGGTCTCCTGGTGATGGGGGGCATGTTCCCCAGGGCAGCCAAGGGTCTTTCTGGTGAGCTTTGGGAATATTTGGTGGGAATAGCCATATCATCATGGCCCATACTCCACAGCTTGTTGTAAGGGTGGGACAGCTTCATGCTTGGCACAATCCTGTTCCTCTCAGACACACCAAGATCCATTCTCTGCAAGAGAGCAGAACAAGCATTAACTCTAACTGATGTCCTCACAAGACAGAGCAGAAGTGAGTTCAGGCTGCTGTGAGGGAAGAGGATCAGTCCCCAGGCTGATCAGTGCAGAGGGACAAGAGCGTGTGGCCAGGAACCAGCCAGGACTCTGCAGCTCCAATTCCAGCTCTGCTGCCCCGGGGTTGTTCAGCTGGCACATGGTGTGCATCTGTCACAGCCCAGTAAGGAGCACACAACCTGTGTCCAAGGCACAGAAGCTGAGAAGCCTTAATTGCTGCATGGAATAAGTTGACAAATGAAATATCTGAATGTAACACTAAAATCAATATTATTATAAAGTAGAAATGACATTTGCTTCTTTAATGTCAGATGAAGATCTTGGAGTCTGCTTTAGTTTAACACTTTCTGAGCAATGTTCCATCACAAACATCCCGTTTCTTCAGAGGGAGATTGTTCAAATGATGCTTAGACGAAAATAGCCAGATCAAAAGAAAAAAAGTTTGCAGGGGACCTGAAAATTACCAACTATTCATTCTCACTGTCAATCATCAACTTCAAAGATATAACTTTGTGTGATGGCCATGGGACAAACAGATTCTGAGGAAGAGGGCAAATATCCCCTCCTTTAGAAGAAAAGGCTTCAGAGGAAACACTTATCACTGAGTCCCATTTAAGCCATTTCTTAATTCAGAAATTAATTCTGAAACACATAAGCAAATCCCTGGAAAACAGACGATGATGATGATGATGACGACAATGATGATTATTATTAGGATCTACCCAATAGTACGAAAAAGATGCTCAGAATGAGCTCTGTGCCACCCCCAGGGCACAGGAAGCCCCCGACCTGGTATTCAAAGGAGCAGCGCTGCTCTGCCTCCTCCTTGGGTGTCCGCAGGTCCTCCAGGCTCTTGGCCTGGCTCAGGGGCTGGGGCTGGCCTTCTACTTCCAAGCTGGGGAAGATGTCTTCCAGGAGGTTGACTTCTGAGGCCTTGCTGGAGAGCAGAGGGCTCGGGGGCAGCGGCTCCCTGGCTCTCTCTGGGCTGCCCACGTCCTCCCCATCGGCACTGTCCGACTCCTTCAGCGCCCGGTACGGCTGAGGCCTGCCACACAACCAAAAATCACATCGCAAATCACCGCATTGCTCATTCTTTGTTCTGGACGCAATTTCCTACGGAGCTGGATGAGTTACAAAGAGCTCCCCAGTGGCAAATATAGCTCAGAGAGCTCCCCCCCATGCAGAGCAGGCGGTGGGCAGGGGGCCATGCAGAAGGGGACCCGGCCCCCGAGGGTGCTCGGAAGGGCAAGAGCCGAGTGGGAGGCGCTCAGAGGGAAGCTGTGGTCATGCAGGCACAGCCAGGCTGAGAGGGGAGTTCTCAGACCAGGGACAGTGGGACACCAGCTCCCCATGCTGACTGTCTGGGCTCCCTCGGGCTGGGCATGGCCTCTGCACCCTGTGTTTGCAGGCTCTGACATCCTTGGGTTTCAAGCTAACTCAGCACACAACATAACTCAGTGTTTTCCTGCAATAATTGGGAGCACTGTGCAGGTTCCAATGATTTCATTGGTGTCATCTTATCAAGAAACACCACAATCCATTATGGAGACACCTCCTTTACATTACCAGCCAAGGCTGAGTTAGCAGGATGCTTCCCTTGCACATACCTCAGCAAAAAATGGAACCAGCACATTTGCATTTTGGTGTGTGTACAGAGAGCAGCAGCACAATGTGCATCCAATTAATGACAACAAGTGCCACACATGACTGTGGGGATTGGCACTTGACTGGCAGCCAGTTGTACTGTGGCATTTAAACAAGCTTTCAATTAAAAGAAAATATTTGTGAGACCTGCAAAAACACATCCTATGGAAGAACCCTTCTCCCTTTTCCATATTTTATCATAATACATCTATATCATGCAAATTCAGAGAGCCCAGCCTGCTTCCCTCCCCAGCACACACAGAGCCCGCAGCAGGACAGGGACGCTGCAGGTACAGGGCAGACAGTGACAGCACACGGCCTCAGGGCAATCTCACATCACTCTGGGTCACCCTGCAAGCCCCCAAGGGATATCTGAAAACAAAACTGGTCTCCTCCACTCCAAACAGGAGTGTGGAAACATTTCCTGGCCCTTTCCTACTGATCCCCCCCATCCCACCTGCCTGCAGTCAGATTTCTTCCCTGTCAGCCTCTGAACCTGTCTGCAGCACGCAATGGATTTTAGCAGCTGCAGACCTCTCTGTCCCACTGGCAGCCTCCTTCTCCAGCCTGGTCTGACCCTGCCAGGCTTCAGCTGCTCAGCTGGGGCTGGCACCGTCCATCTCCCAGCCCTGAGCTGCCTGCCTGTGGCACCATGTGCATTTCCAAAGCAGCAGCTCACAGCACCCTGGCCCCTCTTCCTACAGGTTCTGCTCAAATCAGTGGCTGCACTGTTACAGGAATGAGTGCAACTCCATGCAATTTATCTACCTTTCATCCCCTAGAAATCCTCAAGCAGGCGAGGTTAGGAAATAACAAATCCTCTGCTGACATTCAGTGAGGGCTCAGCTCAGAGCTGCCTGCTGGGATTGGGATATTCAAATCGGCAGCAAGAGGGATTTAGTGCAGCTGAACCCACGGCTGGCAGGGCTCCCCTCACCTCACACGGGCACCCTGGGCAGGCCGTGCTCCTTCCCCTGCCACAGGCACCGTGGGCAGGGGCAGAACCCTCCAGCCACAGCATCAGTGAGCAGTTCTGGCACAGCTGCTCTACACAGTCTTTCAAGACAGAGTTACAGAGCCTTGGGAAGGTACAAGTTACAAATCCAAAAGCTGGATAAAAACAGACCAAACAAACTTCCTGCTTCTTGTATAATTGTCAGATTGTACTCAATGCCATCAGAGGACACCTGACAGGCCAGACAGGCTGGGATCAAACAGGTGACACAGGAAAAGGCTGGTAACTGCACTGGAACAAGGCTCACAGGACAACCCAAAAGCACAGTAACAGCACACAAGAATGAATGGTGAAAGGTTTGGACAGGACAAGCAGCATGTTGGAACAAAGGACAAATGGAAGGGTGACATCACACAGAGCTCGAGTCAATGGAAGCCCATAAGCTGTGTGGTGCTGCAGTGTTTCATGCGGGAGGATGCTTCTTCATGCTGCTCAACATCAAGACAGACAAGCAGGAGAAATGTTGGTCATTCATCAAGCATGGTACAGAGACCCCAGGAGCATTTCCAAATCCCAGTACAGAAGCAGGTGCCCTGGGCAATGCAAACCCCAGTGCTGGAAACTGGCATGGACACAGCAAAAGAGTGAAGGATAGACCATTCGAAAGGAGCAGAGAAGAAAAAGTTTTCAGAGAAGCCAGAGACAGGATCCTCTTCCTGCTGAAATTCATCATCAGAGGAGTCCTCGGAGAGGAAGACTGTATAGTGTCGCATGGGCTTTACGAGGCTGGGGAACAGGAAGAGAAAAGGAAGTTATGGAGTCACAGTGACAGCTCCTGAGGAGAGAAACCAGGGCTCCAGAGACCCAGATCATCCTGAGCCCGACTGACTGCACAGCAGAGCTGGGCAGGGAACTGAGCTCTGCTGCCCAGGCACAGAACACAGCCCCTGTGCCAAGGGCAGGGCACTGTGGGGTGCCCAAGGGAAGGGACCGCAGCCACCCCACAGTGCAGGGGACAGTACAGAAACCCCCTTTCCCCACCACGTTCCCTACAGAGCTGGGCACCTCTCTGTTCCTCAGACAGCTCTGCTCCTCAGGCTCTCTGAGCTCTGACAAACATTAGATCTCCCTCTCTGCTTTACAGGCATTGACTCTGATGCACAAGAGGAGCTGACTCCAGGGTACCAGTTCCTACTTGTATCTATTTTTCACATTTGAAACTGCTTCACTCTAGACTAAAACCTCAGCTGTCCAAGGATTGATAAGAAATGCAGTTTGCCAAGTAAGGTGTATGTGCTCCTTTCCTCAGCATTAACTGAGAATCAGTTCTTAAAGACTAGGGCAGGAAAAGAGAAGTTGGATGCTGCAACCAACAGCCCAAGAGGGCCCGAGCTGCCACTGCCAATGCATGTTCACTCACAGTCAGGTCAGAGCTACTTAATAAGAAGTCTCTCACAGGTGGCAGTGGCTGCGGCCAGTGGTGGTAAATCACACTCTGCATTATTCCAGTTAAAGCCAGTGCCTTGCTTTCTTCCCCCTCTCCTTCTGTAACAGGTGTCCAGGGGAAGGAGGTGGGGCCACAGAGGCCCCGGGTGCCACCCCGTGCCCGTGCCCGTGCCCCGGGGCTGCCCGCGCTCGGTAAATCCCGTGCCCGTGCCCCGGGGCCGCGCGGATGGGACGCGCTCCACGGCGCCGGCAGCAGCGCGGAGCGGGGGCTCCGTTTTAATGAGGAAGATCTGCATCTCGGGAGCTTTTTTCATGTGTCAGGATGCATGGACAAATCAGCAGCACATCACGCTGGCCAAAAATGAAATGCTGACAAATGTAGATATTTCAAATTTAATTGACACCTAAATGTACTTGAGGTAGAAAAAAAAATATATAGAAAATGGGAGTGCAGGGTATGGGAATTAGTAAGGAGAATTCTGTAATAATTTTAAAGGATGTTCTGGTTATAAGAAAATTAGTTTTGTTTATTTTATTATGGTATTGCTTTTTCCTGAATATTGAGATTATGGTACAAAGGGGTGTATGGACTTGTCATGAAAATTCTGTATCTTGTGAAAGCTGAGATGTAAAGACTTACTAAAACTAGCAGCAATAAACTAGACCCAAATAAAATAATTAAAATACAATATATTTCCAGCATTGGTACAATGTTTACCATTCGTGTTTATGTTTATCTGCTGTCTGATAGTGGCAGGAATTGAAGATACACGTTAGCAGAGAGCAACATTGGGATGTCAACAGCTTTTGAACCCAAACATGCAGAATCCTCCATAGGAGCACACATAAATGTAAATTTATTCAATTATCCTCCACCTAAATGCAGTGAGTCATCAGATTAAATATTAAAAAAATGCTTTTAGTTTAAAAATCCCCACAACCTCTGAGCAGGGCCAGCATGGCTCGTTGCAGGAGCTGCATCTGCTCCACAAGAGGGCAACCAAATTCCACTGTAAAATGCACAAATACTCCTGTGCAAGGGAGAATTCACCGTTCAGTTTAGGCCAAAGACAGAGTATGCCCCTACCCTGGCAAGGCTGCAAAGAGCTCTCCATGCACTGATGCCCTTCCAGTATGTTTGGGCTGTGCTGGCAAGTTCAGAACATCTCAGCTCAGAGCATCCACAGCTCAGAGCATCCACAGCTCACAGCATCCACAGCTCAGAACATCTCAGCTCACAGCATCCATTCCCTGGCCAGGGTCACCCCTGAGGGCCCACTGCTAACTCCACTCAGGCACTGTCAGGAGTCTGTGACACACACCCCTTGTCATCTTTGCAAGGATAAGTGACATTAGTGGAAGTGCCTGAAAAAGCCTCCCTGAGGCAACAGAACATGCCTGTACTGGTATGCACAAGTGAGACACTGGAAACCAACACCTTTTGTGCAGGAGCAGTGGGCTGGGGCAGCACAGATGATTTGGAACATTCCCCCTTCACTGGCACAGCTAAAGGGGGGATAAATTTGCTGGTACTGTGCTAAGTGAAGCCCTAGAAACCCTCACCACAGAGCTCACTCAGACATCACGGTCCTGTTAATGCACTCTAGTCAGAGACAGCCCCTTCTGCCATCACAGTCAAATCACCAGCTCTGCATCCTCCAGCTACAGCCTAGCAAGAACACTGCAGCTGCAGGGCTGGAACTGACAATTTCCTTGAAAGAAAAGTGCAAACCAAAACAACAAAGAAATTAACAAACCTCCAAAACCTGAAAACTTTCACTGAAGAGGCTGATCAGAGTGCACTAACTTGGCAAACCCCAACGTTTCCATAAGCAAATCTTGGTTACTTGATTTTTCACACTTTCTCTACAATGTTCCAAAAATATTTTTTTAAAATCAGTTTTGTTCTTAGTTAAAATCTAACTTTGATCGGTAGTATTTTTAATGTCTCCTCTGGTGAGTCCCAGTTCTGAACACACAGTTTGATGCCAGCAGAGAGAAGCAGAGCAGCACAGTACTTACTGTTCTGGGCTGGGAACTGAGGTCCTCCGGCCCTCCACACCAATGTTGCTCTTGGGCCTCTTAACCACATGAGGTCTTGGAGGGCGAACCTGTGACATGCACAGAGACATCTCATCAAACACTGCCCTGATCCAACAGCAGACACAGACAACGCATGGAGAACCACCAGTATCCTACAGGGATCTTCCACTGGGCCTCGCTTTGTCTTTGGTGCCACAACAATGTTACACATGAGTGTGGATACATCAACGGATCTAAAGGATGGATATAAACCACGTGGCCCCAGGACTTGCAAACCAAACGTATATGCTTGTCACTGTTTGCTATTCGTTCTGTCCTGTTTGGTGCAGGCTGAATTTCACAGAAAAGATTCCCTAAGAGTGAGCTTTCCCCTGAGCAGTCAGTGGTGAGAGAAAAGCTGGGGATGTCCACGTGCTCTGGACATTGCACTGGCAGTGGGGCTCAGCTCTGGCACCATGACCCTTCTGGCCGCTTGCTCCCAGGTGAGGACTTCTGTGCAAGGCTATCAGGGAAGATGTGTACTTAGGATAAATGTTTTAACATGAAAACCAGCTCATTCTTCATCAAAAATTTGCTTCCTTCCAGCAGCTGAACACAAACCCTTGCCAGCCATATTGGCATTAGCACTCTTGGTATTAAGTCAGGCTTCTGTTGTAAGTAAAAATCCAAAGCTTTCCTGTGGAAGATGATGCTGCTGCCAATCCAGTCTCACATACATATCCATCACCTTCTAATGTAGGGAAATTCAGCTTGATTTCTGACCAGGATCTCCACAAGCAAACAAGCCTTATTTCAAGGAAAGGAATAAGCCCAAAGTTTGTGTATGTACTAGCTTACACTGCTGAGGAATTCTGTGCTGAACTTATCCCTGTGAGTCAAATGAGGGAATTTGCAGCATCAGGGCAGGCTGTACACACCAGCTTCATGTGTTTTGTTAAGAAAGTACAACTCTACCTGAAAAAGAGTCGGATCTGTTGGCTCAGCTCAATGCTTATCTCACCAGAAATGGCCAAAAACCCAAATAAAGGTGGGAATACAATTCAGCTCCTGACCTCCCAGAGCCTGTGCTCCCTTAAGAGGCACAAGAGAAAGGAGATGTTCATGGCCTACAGCCTGAGTGCTCTGGAGTGACTACGTAACTTCTAAAAAAATATTTGTTGGGGGAGCAGGACTTTACAGGTTTGTTTTGGTTTTGTTTTTTTTTTAATTTTTCTTCTCAGGTACAAAACCCTCAAATTCTCCTGCCAGGAGAAAGCCACCAAATTGCGTGTAGTGCTTCTGCCCTACATGCAGTATGCAGAAAATAGCAGCAGCATTATTGCATTGAATTTTCATTTCAAAGGAAATGGTGCACAGCAGATATGATGAAGAAATACAGAGTTGTATTGCCACTATTTCTTAGGAAAAAGGGCTTATGAAAAGGTCAGATGTTAAGGTCTTGGAGATCAGTCCCCACACAAGGCTGCTCCTCTCTACAATAAAGACAGCTTAACAATGTGAATTTATGGCAGGAATGGAAGGATTAAGTTTGTGGCAACTTCAACTGAACTTGCAACGTGGTGAAACATGGGGAAAAGAACAACAGAGCTAATTAGAGGAGCTGAGCTGTCAGAGCGCAGCAGAATGGCTCGGTGCCAACAAACAAAAGGAATGGGCTGGCAATCAGCAGGATCGATGAAGAATACTGCTTCATTAGGGCTGATAAAACACGGAGAGAGCGCAGAGAGGAGAGAGGGAGAGGGGGCGACAGCCAGGAGGAACGGGAGAGGAGAGCGCCAAGGAGAGAGGGAAAGAGAGGAAGAAAGCAAAGCTGCTTAATTAAATGGGAGCTGGGAGCTGATGTGTAAAGCTGGCCTGTCAGCGTGCTGGGAACACTTTCACCTTTCGGCTGGGTGTGCTGCCGGGGAGGGACAGAGGTGACAGTTTGGGGTGGCTCCGGGGCCCCAGCCCAGCGCGCTGCAAGGTGACAAAGCTGAGCGGGATTTAGAGCATTGTTCCTGGGGAGCTGCAGCGAAAAGCCAGGAATCAAGGCAATTCCTTGCTGGATTTTGAGTCTCACATAGCTACAGAGGCAAGGTTAAATGCTTATCAAATGCAAAATATCAAAGAAATCCAATTACGTGAGCAAACAGCCAAAAGAAAAAAGGTAAACTTCCAGGACAGAAGGGTTGAATGTGCTTATTACTGTCCCCATCAACTTAATGCATAATTATTATATTTTAACTTTTTCTAATTGAATAAAGTTTCCAAACAACCACTATTAATCCAAACAGACCTCCATTAATTAGAAGCAACAACCCTCTCTCTTTCATAATACTACCACTTATTTCCAAAGCAGCAGAATGCAAAGAACATCTCTGTTCTGCTTCCTTAACCTTTCTTTGGTCTGTGTTTTTGGCTTTATTATCAGCAATTACTCATATTGCAAGCACTAGTGGCCATGTATTCCTCCTTGCAGCACAAAGTATTTCTCAGGAATTCAGGTATTATGTGGCCCTGGCTGGAAGAGCAGAGGGACCTGGTCACCCCCTTTAGTGCTTGTGTACAAGGCCAGGATAAATCAATTGCTGATACCCACCTCTGTAGGAGCTGCCAAGCCTGAGAGGGAAAAAACAGCCTGCAAAAAGTATTATTTACACATACAGAAATGTGTTGCAACTACCAAAAGCCAAATAACAGTTCTGAACAACAACAAATTTATGTATATTTGATACAAGCATATTTTTGGGATTGATTATAATAATTTACATTTATCTTGAATTTCCCCTTGATGAATGAAGCCTTTCTGTTCCACTTACTGACACAGCCAGAGGAATGCAACAGGAGCTTTCATTATTACATTTCCAACCTTTTATCCATCACATTGGGAGCAAAGACAGTTGAACCAACCATGTTACAGTGAGGACTATTAATACCCTACAGCTGGGAGATTAAACAGTCTTAACAAGATCTCCACATACTAAATGACTCCATTTGAACAATACAATTCAGCAACTTTGGTACAGAGGAATCACAACATGCCCCCTTACACCTGCCAAATGTGGAACACGAGGGCATGGGAACACTACAGGAAGCCCACAGTAAATGGAAAGTCTGATCCTAGTGAAACACATCTGGGAGGGTCCCCCATGCCCACTGTACTTAAGAGAACACACATAATCATAGTCAATGCTATTTTTTAAACACAGAAAACAGAAATTTTCAGGGGGAAAAAAATCCATAAAAATGACTCTATTAAGCTAAACACCCAGAGTTAAAAAGATGGAGGAGAAACACATGCCACTGAAATGTCACACAGGAACATGCACCAGAGATCAAAAGTTAAAACACACACCCAGTTGCACTTGTTAACCAGTTACCTGCTCATCCAAAACACATTTTAACAAGTTTTAGCAAGATCAGATTTGAAAACTTGCATCTTTCTCTTTCTTATGCATGTATGTATACGGATAAGGAAGCAAGAAGTAAGATGATCTGGGGGGGGAACTATATTCATAAAGCTGAATATAATCCTGAATATACATAAATATCTTCCAATGCTGTGCCAAAAACCAACACCCCTCCCATACTGATGCTTCTTGCCTTTACCTTTAACAAAAACAAACATCTGGTGCAGGGTACAGACCCAGCAGGGTGTCCAGTCTTAATGCCATTCTGCTAGTCCATAGGTAGAAACTGTCCTACAGTGAGTGTTTCTGGGGAAAAACTGCTGAGATAAGGTGTCCCTACTTAACATGTACAGGCACTGCACTGCCAGTAATTTCTGTGCAGTTCTTCCATGAAGGAGTCCCTTCCTCTGGCCAACCTGCTGGGCCTCCTTTTACACCATGGAATTACCCAGTGTATGCCATCCATAACATGGCACCAATGCTCCACTGCCAAAGATCGACCTCGCTTTCTTCAAGTCTATTCATACATGGAGAATAATTAGGCATCCCAAATTAATTAAAAGCATAACTTGCAAAGAATAATACTATGTCTTCAGACTTCTGCTTCCTTTCAGATTTGAGTTCAGTGCAAGTCTTCAAAAGCTCACTGGCTAAAAACTTCCACCAGCCAGTCTAGCAGGGCTTTGTGTGTAAGAAACCACAGCAAAAGTCAAACCAGAGGTGGCCAGAGCAGCCCCAGTTACCTGCAGAGCTGCCCAGAGCTGCAGGGCTCGCCAGAGAAAAGCAGAACAACCGCGGGTCCCAGGGCTGTGCCGCAGCAGAGAGAAGGCAGTTTAGGAGCATAATTCACACATGGCTTCTGTGCAGAGCTTGACAATCCAAACTACCAGGGTTTAGTAGCGCTACAAGGAGCGTAACTCAGGCAGTGTTAAGCTGTGGCAGTGAAACAATCCCCAGCTACTCACGGGCCTGGAGGAGCGCTGGATCTTTGGGGGCGGCGGCCGCGGCGGGCGGAGTCTGTGCTGCTGCAGCAAAGTGGAGACTAAATTAAAGTCACCTGCATGGAAACACCTCTGATGTCCTGGCAAAAGCAGCATGAGCATGTGACAGCACGTGATTTACCTTCATACTCACCTCATAAAATGCCCTTTTTCTTACTTTGCTTTTCCAAAGCAGTGACAAACCCCACGGCCCGTGATGTGCCCTGGCAGCACAGGTACCCATGGCGGGCTGGACTCAGCTCCTCCCACACCACAGGCAGCAGGGACAGCCCCAGACAGCCAAAATGGACTGACACAGCAAAGCTCTTCAGGCTGGATTCTTGGACCTCGAGGTGCAAGTGCTCTAGGCCACATTTTTGCAAATGGAAACCAGGATACTCAAAAACACTTTCACTAAAATCTTGAGTGATTTTAGTGCTTGTGAAAACTTATGGAGAAGGCCTCAAACCAGACATGTAAGAGCACAGAAAAAACCCCAATTCAGTGAAACTTTTCATGCACTTAAAGCTGAGCTTACGCTCAGATCCTGTCCTGGGTTTTACTCCTAAGTGACCAACAATTACAAATCAGGCCTTAAAGCATCATGATGGCCTAGAACCCAAAACTACTTGTGTAAATATTATCTTAGTTCTGTGTAAGTGAAAATGAACACACTACAAATATTCTACATATTTATAT